AAAAATGCTAATCAGGAACCCTAGTCAGAAGTCCAAAGCGCTGGGAAAAAGGAGCTGACTGCCCCAGGGCTCACCAGGGGTTTTTGGCCACAGCAGCAAGATCAATTCCAGACCACACCTGCCAGTGTGCTCTCTGCCTTCCTTAGGACCAGTCCAGAAACTGGGTGGGACAGGATCCACAGGGAAAAAGCCTCAGCACTTGCAGCTGACACGGACAGGGGGAATCCAGGGGTGGCTGGGAGAACTAACAAAGTCAGGAGAAAATCCCTACAGGGGACCCCAGGGTGAGAAGCCTTCTTACCCTGTCAAGGGGGCTTCCACTATAGTGAGTCAATTTCTGGTAGAAAATTACCAGCTAGAGAAAGAGTAGGGAGGATGCGATGAACCATCATCTGGCTTTGTGAAGCCAGAGCAGCTGGACTGAAGAAGCTAAGACAGACAGATAGAGGATAGAAGAAATTGTAAATGTCAGTGGAAAGAAGCAGGGTCTAGAGAGATGTCCTGTCCTAGATAGCAGCTGCTGGCCACATGTGGCTACAAAATCTAAATTAAAATAAATAAAATTAAAAAAATTGATTCCTTGGCTGCACTAGCCACATTTCGAGTGCTTAATAGGCATGGGGCTGGTGGCTATTTTATAGACAGTGCATATGGAACATTCTCATTATTGCAGAAAGTTCCATTAGATAGTGCTAGACTAGCGGCCTCACTTTATCCCTTAGGTCTGAAGTGTCTTTTGGACCTAATTTATTCTGCAACATGAAAGTGAGTCCCAATGCTTCTGTTGCTCTTATCGAAGAAATTCGGGGGCAGGAGGGCAGTGAGTCTTTTCACTTTGGGTCCATTCATGTCTCTGGACTGTTCTCAGACTGGGAGAAAGCTAGAAAGAGAGGCCAAGGGTTTGATGACAGAGTGCTGCCAGGGTCAAATCCCCTCCAGCATCTTCCCCTTGGGGAAGTAGTAAGAGGTTGTGAGAACTAGGAGCTCCCTGAGCAGTCAGCAGCCAAGGGGAATGAGATAAGTCTCAGGAACAGTGGTCCCTGCCTTTCACTCCTCCATGACCCACGGGCAGGCCTACAGGGAGGAGGAGAGTGGTTAGCAGCCTTTCGTTTGGGGGAGACCCTTCTTTCCAGGGCAGACCAACTGCCGTTGAGGAAGAGAAGCTGGGCCCATCCTTGGCTGCTCCTCCTGCCTTGCCTTAGGGAAGTCATTGTCAACATGCAACTAAGTCACATGATCCCTCTTTCCTGTACTAAAACCAGAGGTTCCTGCCTCAGCCTCCTTGTGATGTCAGAGCTGCCCAATGGGGCTGCAGCAGGGGCATGCCCAGGCTCATCCTATTGGCCGTAAAGGACATGTTGGGTGGCTCTCTTTTCTCTTGCCATTCTCACCTTAGGTAAAGTTCAACTTAGAGTTTTAATTGGGATTGTATTGTCTATGGATCAATTTAAAGATAAATGACATCTTGGTAATATTGAGTTTTCCAATTTATGAACATGATATATTTCTCCATTTACTAAATTTGCTTTAATTCCTCTCTATGAAATTTTTTAGTTTTCTCTGTAGATATCGGAGACATTTTTTTGTTAGATTTATTTCTAGGCATTAGATATTTTTCAGTGTTTATCATAAAGTGTATCTTAAAAATATTTTTCCGTCTTTTTTGACAATTTCAAGTCACGATAGGAAGATAATCCAGCAAATAGCTTATTTTCAGGCCATTCTAACCACAAGTTTTTAATGCTGATCAACTTGGCCTTGAAACAGTCATGGACCCAGATGCTGTTTGCTTATCTCCTACTCTCGGGAAGGGATTTCCTCTGGCTTGTTATTAGGTGCTCAAATCAATTCTACTGTCATCCGTCCCACTCTTCCAGACATCACTGCAGATCCCTGAGGTCTTGGTGGGGGGCTGAATTGCTCTAAACTGGTTTATATTCACCCATAGTTCGTGTGTGTGTGTGTGTGTGTGTGTGTGTGTGTGTGTGTGTGTGTAACAGTGTGAATTTAAGGAGTAGGGCAGTTCAAATTGAGGCAAGAACTTATTTGAGAAAATTCATTTTCCATGGAGTGGTGAGAACAGATGGGAATGAAAAACTTGAGAGTATCAATCACCATAAAGACAATGAAAGAATGAAGCAAGAGTACAAGCTGACCACCCGACTGACCAACCAACCAATCACAGACACAAAAAGGACAGAAGAAAAGTGGAGCAGTGACAACATGAGACAACTTCTCCCTGGCTGTGTCTCATGTCAATCTTCAACATCCTTGCTGCCTAACTGTCCTTTTACAGCTCATGCTTACTAGTGCAAACCCATTCATATCACACATAAACAACCACACCAGTGAGTTAAAAGATGCAGACAGAATTCCAGTTAACCAGGAGATATGAAAGCTGTTCTGTGTTTCAGGTCACTGTTAGAAGCCCTGGTTCTTGGGCCAGACTCAGCCAGGTATTTCTACCAGAGCTTCAAGTAGTTTCTGCTTTGGTTTTCTGCCTGAAATTTTTGGGGATGCTTTTCCTGAGTCCATTCCTTAATTAAGAACATAGCCTAATGAGAGCCCTGCTCTCACCAATACTCCTTCCAACTGGTCAACCTTCTTTGGTCAGCCAGTGAACTTTATCTCTCGATTGCCAGAGGTCCCTTTAGAGGTATTCATTTTCCTTTCTCTTTACGCCACAGACTGATCCTGGCAGGTGGAATGCAAAAGGCCCCAGGATGGCTCTCTTCCTTCTTTGGAAAAAGTCTCTCATTTTACCTATCTTCTCACAAAACTAGGGATTGAAGAAACTAGGAGGCACTTTATGGTTTAGATCACTACAACTGGCTAGTGGCTTGTTCCTAGATCTGCAGGATTTAGGTAGAGTGTCTTTCAGGTAGAAGCCCCTGCAGGTATCAGTTTCATTTGCTTCTTAGGGCAGCTGTGTTCAAAGCATTTCCTGTGCTCATAAAACAAGATTCAGGAAGTCCACTGCAGGGCCCTGCAGACTGCATCAGACATCAGAAACACATCTGAGTCAATTGTGAAATGACTCAAAGCTTTGAAATATTTAAACCATATGTCTCATGAAACAAGATGAAAATGATGCTAATTTCCCTACTAGAGGCTGCCATCTGAGATTGAAGCTCAACTTGGCAATGATCCTGCATTCTTAGCCTCACCCAGTCGTATTATTGTGACCTTGAACCTGTCAGTATTCCTGAGCCATGCAGCATGGAACAGGACTATAGGTGGGCAGAGGCACTATGTGTATACAGACAGTGGCCAAGGATATTCAGTGGTTTTCTCTAGGCCAGGACAAATTTTATGCCTCCAAATGGGACTTAGCTTGGAAGGGAAAGTGAAAAAGAGTATATTTGCTGCCCTGGAGGAGGTGGGAAAACACCATTATTATCTCCGAATGACATTCATTAGGAGTCTTATTTTCTGAAAATTAGCCAAGAACCCTAGGCATTCTTTGAGTGAGAGGAAGAATCAGCATTGTAAGAATATTGTCTCTCTTATTTTTGAAGTCCCTTTGCAGTCAAAGGTTGTTTGCTTCTTTCTGAAAAGTGCCCAGCAGAATATTTGATGTAGAAAGATGCTAACTGCTTGGTGCAGTGGAAATTATATTGACCATAAAGTCAGAGGTGTTAGATTCTAGTCTCGGTTCTACCACTTAGTGGTGGTGTAATTAATATTACACTTAATTGCTCTGCACTTCACTTCCCTCTTCCCTAAAATGGGGGTGCTAAAAACTATCTTAAAGGAGTGTTTTGAAAAGGATTACATGCAATGAGGTATGTGTGGCATATGGTAGATTATCAAGAAATGTTAGTTGAATATCAATTCAAAGAAGGTGATGGATAACTTGTCAATGAAGTGGAGCCAAGGGGTCCTAGCCCTGCCCCAATTAGTCCTGGGACAAGTAAAAGTCTGAATAAAAATGGAATATATGACTAAAGACGTTTCCTTTTGGACCTTCTGTTGATCTGTGTTGCATCTGGGAAAAGTAATGAAAGAAAGGAAGAGAAGGTTCAGAAAGCTAAAGAAGTTTTCTTGTCTATAATTCTCTTAGAACCAGCTATCCTCATCCCTCTCCCAAAGGTGTCGTGGTAGCCAGGGGGAGCCACTGAGTTGCTGTACATCCTCCCTCAGAAGCAGCGGCTCATGTTGTGAATCCCAGGTCAGTGGATGCCAGTGATTTTGACCTGTCCTCAGGGGTGGAAGATGGCAGGTGCTGCTCAAACCAGCCTGCTCCTCTATTATCCAGCTCAATGGTGGTGGGCCTGGTTAGGGAGGGCACAGATAATTCAAGGTGACAGATAATCCAGCTTGCCTTACCCTACTTTGTTCATTCAAAGGTTCTAATCTTCTCTTCAAACCTTCCTTTGAGGAGCTGCTTACAAGCAGCAAAGCACAGATATTTGCAGGTAACGGCCCTTCCTGTACTGGAAGGTACAAGGGAGCAATGATGTAGCCTCTGAGGTGGGAGCAGGAGGCCCCCATGGGCTAGAACACTGAGTCCTGAGCAAGTACAGCCCTGCCTGAGCTTTCTACAATGAAGCTGGTCTGTGTGGCTGATGAAAAGGGAGGAGAGGAGAACAGAGGCCTGAGTAGATCTGGGAGGTTGGGCCTGGAGAGGTTTGGTTTGTCAGACTGTGGGCATAGTTTCTTCTAGATTATGCACTGGGGGGTGGGGACAGGGAAGGGGATGGGAAAAGAAGAACCGTCATCTGCTTCCCCTGGAAGGAGAGGCTCAGCTCAGGAAGGAATTTGCTTTCTGTATATCCCAGCCATGGTCCAGATCATGAGCTGAGATTCTACTTCAAAGAGCTGGCCTGATCCAATCTTGGCTGATTTAGGAGTTTGGGCATTATCATCAGAGAAGACACGGTCCTTCACTGATTATTTCTGCCCCTCGCTCTCCTTCTTTCGATACTGACACTCCCACCTCCTCTTGTTCTCCATCCCTCTGGCACCTGCAGACCAGATGCCTTTTTTCAGAGGCCTACCTTGGGTTTGAAGGCAATGAGCTTCAGAATCATCTCCACAGTGAAGAGGCCAGTGAAGAGCATGTTGAGGATATTCATGGCGATTTTGAACAGGCAGCTCTGACCGTAGTGCTGAGAGGAAGGCAGGAACTGTGAAAATGAGGCAGGGACATCTCTACTCCTCACACCCTCATCTCAACAGAGATCTCCCTTGAAACGAGTCCTAAAAGGCCACCCACATCTCCATAAGCAGTCAAGTGGGCTCAGGAAACATTGCAAGCTCTTCCCTTCTCCACCATCTCTGGAAACAGAGGTCAGCAGAGTTCTATGTTCCTGCTTTGATTGGTTATGAAAACTATATAAAGAATCCTGGTATTCAAGAGAATTCTGGCATGCGTTGACCTCCCAAAGGCAGGTGGATGTGGAGTCGACCTCTACACGCCATGCCTTACTGACAATAATTAACACTTCAAGCTCACCCTCTGTTCTCCATTTCCTCCACTCTCTCGGTTTTCTCAACCCAGGGGCCTACGGAATTTTTCCTCAGGTCCCGAAGAATAGCCCATCCCTGAGAAGGGACACTGTCTTTCTCCACCTGGGAGAAGAGGACAGCTCTTCTGGTCTTTCTGCTGCCTTTTGCCTCCAGGAAGGTGACACACCAGAGACGATAGTGCAGCTCTTTTACGCTCCATACCCTCCCACAGCAGTCTCCCCCATACAGGCCTCATGGGAGCTGGCCCCTCTGGACTGACCTGCATGGCCAAGCAGATGGTGTTGAGCAGGATGAGGACGAACATCAGGTACTCAAAGTAGGTGGAGTTGACCACATACCACACTTTGTACTGGTGCTGGTTCTTGGGTATGTACCTCCGCAGGGGCCGGGCCTTGAGGGCGTATTCCACGCACTGTCGCTGGGAAGGGAGCAGTGGGGGGAGGGAATGGGGAGAGTGTGGGGTTAGTTACCTGAATGATGTGTGGGCGGTGGCAGAAGAGGGTGGGTTGTAGATGAAACTATACACCTGGGGGTAGGGCTCTCCGTGAGTCAGAGAATAACCTATTGTTCTAGCTCACTGACAAGTGTGAGATGTTATTTAAACACTTTTTTTTTTTTGGATTTCCTCTCACTCCCTTAATCAAGAAGAGAATCTTCTTATCAAGATTAGTACATATATCCTTTTTTTCAACTTGGTAATGCCTGGTATACTGCTGACAGTTGCCACTTGATAAATACTTGTCACTTGACTGATATTTGGTCTCTCATTATTTCCTATGCCACAGCCTTTCCTTGAGGCACTTCTCTCCTCAAATTTTCTTTCTTGTCCTAAATCAATCTTCCTAATTTACCAGAGACCACAAGATCAGAAGACACAGGTCATGAGTAGGGAATAAGATCTTGGCCAATTAGACTCTTGGGACTATAGCACAGATCCAGTTAATTCCTCAGTACTATGCCCAGATTTCTGAGTCGGGAACTGGGGAGTCAGTCCAGCCTCTTCTCTTACCCTCAGACTCCATGTCCAGTTTCTAAGCCTGACCCATCATATTTCTTCCTATTCTCTTCATCTCTACAATCATTAACCTATAGTAGATGAGGGTCTAATCATCTCTCATCTACATTTTCTAACTGGCCTCCCTCTTTCCGGTCTTACTTCCAATCCTAAGTCCATACAGCAGCAAGAATGATGAGTCTAAACCCAAGACATTGACATCAAAACCCGTAAGGGGTCCAGCTGGCCTAACTGGGGTAGAGCTGAGTGTCTTGTGCCATGCTCTTTTTCATAAGCAGACCTGAAGTCACTCACAGACAGAAATATATCTCTCTATGACTCTTCCCATGGGGGAATCTAGCTGGGGAACTGACCTCAGTGACCACATGCTATAGCCCACCATAACAGCTTCATTCCTCACCAGTGGAATTGCCAGCTCTTGTTCATAGGCTAACGGAACATGTCATGATACTGGCATTACTATAGCAATCCTGCCTAAGCCTCTTTCCTGCCACCATCTCAGGCACAGGCCTCTGGGTTTTATTTAAGAAACCATTTAATAGTGGTTTTCTAATGCTGTCCTCTTCTGCCCCCAAAATCTTCACTCCCTCATTGTTCTAGTTTCTTTCCTCTTTATCGATGGTGCTAACCCACATGGGTACTTTCTAACTTGACAACTTCTAGAGAGGGCACAAAGTTTTTTTTCCCCAAGAGTCTATCATGGAGTCTCCTTAAGTGGATGCTTAACAAGTATTTGCTGGCTGAATGAACACATTTGCCAGATCGGGGATTTGCAGGGATTTGCAGGGATTTGCATTTCTTTTGCTCAGGCTCCTCCAGAAGGCTGGGAGCCCTATTCTCATTGAGTAGTGGACAGATGATCTTAGCATCCACAAGATCGCCCTCCTGACCACAGCCTCCCTTCTGGGTGAGCCGCGGGCTGCCGACTGCTGTTGTTCCTCATGAGGTCCTGCTTTCCCCTCACCACCTCATTCTTCTCCTTCCTAGGAAGCTACCTGGTTCTTGTCCAGCTCACAGTTCTTGTACTCCTGCTCTCCCTGCTCCTGGAAGGTGACGATGACGAAACCCACGAAGATGTTCATCATGAAGAAGGCAATGATGATGATGTAGATGATGAAGAAGATGGAGATCTCCACCCGGTAGTTGTAGATGGGGCCCTTGTCCTCCGTGTGGGAGTCGATGGAGCGGTACAGCAGCCTGGAGGAGGAGACAGCCCCACAGACGAACTGGAGAAGCAGTGTCGCCTCTGTGGAATGATGGCACTGCTGCTCCCAGGGGTCCCTGGGCTCAGCGGTGCTAGAAATAGCTCTAGGCTGGGAGTCAGAAGATCTGGGTTCAAGTCCCAGCTCTGTCACTTTCTGGCCATGTGACCCTGGGCAAATCACTTAACCTCTTTGAGCCTCAGATTCTTCATCTGTAAATGGAGACAATAATCCCTAACTTTCCTACCTGGCAGGGTAGCTGATATAATGTATATGAAGGTGTTTTGAAACTGTCAAGTACTCTTTTAATGTAACATGAATTATGGACACTGATTTCAAATACTGGAAATATTGGTAAATATTGCGACAGCTTTGCAAACGGGCATAGACTCAAAGGATGTTACAGTGAACATAAAATAAATCTCTCAGAGATAAATATCCTTTAAGATTAAAAACACTAGGTAACAAACGACCTAGGCTTATTCAGACCATCAGCAATGGTTCGGTGTTACACTTAGGTGGTTTCCACGTGTGCACCATCCATTTGGGCCCGGGCCTGTGCCCATTATGCCCGTTCCTCCTCAGGGACAGGGGCTGCCTCCTCGCCTCTCTTTGCTACCCCACACAGTACTTGGTTATCCTCCAGGTTTTATCTGTATTTTACCATGTGATAGTGGTGACTCTCATCTAAGATCCATGTGCTATGACTGACTTAGGAATATTTAGAATTTCTGACTTTTAGATGATAATTTCACTGGAATACAGAAGGGAGGATCAGGTGTCTGTACAAAGATATGGAGCACCTGCAGGATGAGCTGCCTGGTCGAGGCGCTGCAGTGAAAAGGCCGACCAGGCCAGTGGTCTAGGCATGAACGCACTATCTGTGCAGAGAAATCTGGACCCAGGTTTCTATCCCTTTCTTACCTTCCACTGAAAACATAGACAAGGCTTTCTCTTAAGGAGACTGGGGCAGAGCCTAGTAAAACAGAGACATCTCCACCATCTCCGCTCACACTGAGTGTGCCCTGGGAGCAGCAATCTTGAACCCTATGGTGATCTAAGGGCCTATGCTGGAGAGACTCTCCTGGTCCCTACTCCTAGATACCATGACCCCTATCACTGTGTCTCACTCTGAGGTTGGGAAGGGGCTCTGAAAGAAGCTCATTTTGTTTGGGTTGGAGTTTCTGAAATGTTGACATCTTTTAGAAAAAGAAGAGTCTATTTTTCGGCAGTGACGATGGCCTACAGATGGTTCTAGAAACATGCCCTCACTGCCTGGGGAAGACACAGGGAAGTACGACCTCTGGAAAGGAGTGTGGGAAAGGCAATAAAACTTGAGGGATGAGTGTGAGGACAATGTCTTGGCCTCTCACATCGGGGTGGACAGGCCTTGATTTGCATACTCACTCTGGCCACCCCTCAAAGGTGGAGACAGTGAAGAGGGCCATCATGGCTGCCAGAACATTGTCAAAGTCGAACTTGCTGTTCTCCCAGCTGCGAGGCTGGATGATGGGGTGGTCAACCTCCCCGTCCTTGTACGTGATGTAGTTACCCCTGTGAGAGGAGGGGAAGAGTTAATTGTGGGGGCCTCCCATCTCCCTTCACACCTGACCCACCAACGACTCCTGGCATGCTGGGTGGGATGTGACTAGTTTGGCTTAAACCCCACAGTTCTAGCCATTGTGAGGAGCTTCAGTAGGTAGCACCTGCTGTATGTTATGTCCATGGGACCAGATTATCCATGGGTAAAAGTCCAGGGGCTGCTGCTGTCTGAGAAAGAATGGGCTGTCCCTCCTCTCACACCGAGTTACCAACTGCCCCAAATTAACCAGCCCTGGCCTGGCTGCCCGCCAGCCCGCACTCACTTGCATTCTGCCTCTGTCTGCTTGGAACTGTCTGAACAGGTGTAGAGCTTTCCCTGGAAGGCAGAAGAACGAAGTGATTGGATATGTTCATTAACCAATGAATCGATCAAAAAAGATCGTCCCTAATGTCCAGCACTGTGCTAGGGGACTTGGGATAAAAAATATGAGGAGAGCAGAATCCAGGTGGGGAAGATCTGACTCACATATATTAAAGCAGTCAGTGCCATGACTACCACTGGAATTCAGAAAAAGGGAGCTCTAATCCACGAATGCTGGACTCTTTAGGAAGGTCTCATGAGGATGGTAGAAGTGGAACTGGTCTTGGAGGGCTGAATGAGGTGGGATGTTGCAGGTTTTATGCAGGTGCCTGACACGGAGGTTTCAGAACATAGCAGGCCCTCTCCCTTTCATGCCAGAAGGAAGGGCAAGAACTAGGGGCAGGCAGTGCCGAGGGGGCGAAGGGTCTTCGCCTGGTGGAGCAGTGCCTCCTTCCAAGCTGTACCTTCTCCGGTCTGGGAAGCTCAAAGCAGGGCTATGGTGACCTTTATCCAGAGTCTGACCCAGGCCACACTCCTGTTTTTGCTGTACCTGCAAGGCCCCTTTCCCGGGAATACTGATAGGAGGAGAAGGAAGGACCGAGACTTCACCTTAAAGAGTTGGACCCCGATGCAGGCGAACATGAACTGAAGCAGTGTGGTGACAATCACGATGTTCCCGATCGTTCGGATGGCGACGAACACACACTGAACCACGTGCTGCAGTGGGAGAGAAGGCCGGAAGGGCATGTGGTTTCAGGAAGAGCCTGCAGCCTGAGCTTCCTTTAGCCAAGTCCCCCTCCCACTCCCGCTCTGAGCGGGCAGCATGGGCAACCCCTTTACCAGTGGAGAAAATCAGACTCACAGAGGCAAAGCACCTTCCCAGTGTCACATGGTGGTGAAATCATGTGAAGGGAACTCAAAGGCCCCCATTGGGCTATAGGTGACTACAGGGACAAATGCCCTGTCAACTTCCTGATTTATAGGGGTAGGAAAACAGGAACTTCATTGCCATCAGGGGCACTGGGTGTATATGTAGGTATCCTTTTTGCAAAAGTTTTGCTTAGCAGTTCAGATTTTGAATGGCTGCCTCTGTCACTGCTCCTGAAATGGGACTACAGGTGCAGGCAGGAGAGTCTTCAGCAGCCACTTGAGCTGCCCATTATCTCCTCCCTCTAGCCCACCCCTCACCTTGGCTTGGCTTCTGCCAATGCACAGACTGGCAGGTGCTTGGGGGTGAATGGCTCCCTGCGCAGGCCCACCCTTCTCACCTTCAGTCCCTTGGCTCTGTTGATGGCCCTCAAGGGCCTGAGTACTCTCAGAACTCGCAAGATCTTTACAACATTGATTGCACTGGACCTGGGAAGGAGAAGTGGGGAGGGGAGTGAGCTTCTCCTGCTTTTGGTGAAATAAGAAATAACGTGGTGGTGATGAATGTCCTGGTAGGCTATTCCCAGGCCAACTTGTGACAACATGAAGTTTGTCTGGGAGGTCTTTCTCATCCTGGGACCTGAAGCTTGCCTGCTACCTGACTTTCATGTGGGCTAGTAAATAATGTGAAAAGCAACTCACCAGGAGTCTCTAGCAATATAACGTGCTGGGCGGTGGTGTTTATAGCATCAGAGAGACAGATTTAGATGTAGCAAACCTGAATTAAAACCCAGCACTGCCACTTACCAGCCAAGTCACTGAGGATAAATTTCCTAACTTTTCTGAGTCCTAGTTTCTTCATCTGTGAAGTCAGATAGTAATCACTTTTCAAGGTTGTTGAAAGGATTAAATAAGAAAACATATGTGAATCATCTAGCAGTGTGCTTGGCACGTACTATAAACTGAATAAATGGTAGCTTTTATTATTATGCCTGATGAAGACATCACTGAACTTGAAGAAATACTACACAAATGTTGGAACTTCAGGCCTGTGACTGGAGGGGATGGATGCGGGCAGGAGTTATTTCAGTGCTCATCTCTAAACACGTGTCCTAGGTAGTTGCCCATTACACTTATATGTATAACCCTCTCTGGTTCATAGCCCAGTCAGGATTTGGAGGAGTGGATTCTACACAACAGCCTCCACATCCCGAGGATGCCAGGGCTGCAGCAGAACTTCTGGGAGCCTCAGGCTGCTGTCGTTCCCTAGTGGAAAGGAGGCTCTAGGGTGCGGGTCCCCCACAGGCTCCTTGGCAGGATGCTGGGATGCGTTATCCATCCACCCAGGTGGGCTCGCTCACCAAGCCAGGTTGGTGAGCAATTCTGAAGTGTATTCTAACCCTCAAGCACTAACCTTCTGATTGAGATAGTCCTCTAACTTTCAGAGAGCCTTATACCCACCTGGGACCTAGAAAATATATGACATGTCAGCAAGTGCTGATTTCATTCTTCAGATGGTCAGGATGATGAGCTCAAGAGGGAGCTGGTAGAAAGATCTGATTTCTTTGGTTCACGGCTCTTTTATTTCAAAGGATTCAGAGAGCATTCCTATCTATCTGGGTATCTCAAAGAGGGAATCAGTTTGCATTGAATCACAATGGTAAGGATTTAAAGGTCAGATGGAGAAAGCCCAGATTAAAGGGGGGAATTTTTGGTTCAAGGTTAAGTAAGGATTTAGTGTTAGTGCTAGGATTAGAACCTAGACCTGTAGGCTCGTAGGCAGACAGTTGTGGGTCATATAATTGATGATCACAGAAAGAATCCCACTTGTAACAACCCCGCCCCCATCTCCATACTTTCTAAGCTGACCATGAAAACACCCTTGGGAGAGGAGACCCCAGGGTCCTTTTCTCTGCCATTGGTGTGACCTCGGGCAAGTCTCACAACATCCTGAACCTCAGTTTTTCTATCTATAAAATAGTGATAACAGCAGTTGTCCTGCCTACCTCACGGGTTTCTGTGGGAACCATAGAAGACCGTGCATGTGAAAGTGCAAGTGCAGGATTAGCATTAACAGCCGAGGGAACTTGAGAGAAACTTGTAATCACTCTTAAACTTGAGCAAGTTTGCAACCTCCGTTGTATGGTGGAATCACCTGGAGAGTTTTTAAAAATCCTAGAATCCAGGCTGTCCCTCAGACTAATTAAATAAAAATCTCAGGGGTAAATGTCTGTTTAAAAGCTACTCAGGTGATTTCACTGTGTAGCCAAGAATGAGAATAATTCCCTCCTCCTCCCTCTCTGTGTCTGTGTCTGAATCACAATGGTAAGGATTTAAAGGTCAGATGGAGAAAGCCCAGATTAAAGGGGGGAATTTTTGGTTCAAGGTTAAGTAAGGATTTAGTGTTAGTGCTAGGATTAGAACCTAGACCTGTAGGCTCGTAGGCAGACAGTTGTGGGTCATATAATTGATGATCACAGAAAGAATCCCACTTGTAACAACCCCGCCCCCATCTCCATACTTTCTAAGCTGACCATGAAAACACCCTTGGGAGAGGAGACCCCAGGGTCCTTTTCTCTGCCATTGGTGTGACCTCGGGCAAGTCTCACAACATCCTGAACCTCAGTTTTTCTATCTATAAAATAGTGATAACAGCAGTTGTCCTGCCTACCTCACGGGTTTCTGTGGGAACCATAGAAGACCGTGCATGTGAAAGTGCAAGTGCAGGATTAGCATTAACAGCCGAGGGAACTTGAGAGAAACTTGTAATCACTCTTAAACTTGAGCAAGTTTGCAACCTCCGTTGTATGGTGGAATCACCTGGAGAGTTTTTAAAAATCCTAGAATCCAGGCTGTCCCTCAGACTAATTAAATAAAAATCTCAGGGGTAAATGTCTGTTTAAAAGCTACTCAGGTGATTTCACTGTGTAGCCAAGAATGAGAATAATTTCCTCCTCCTCCCTCTCTGTGTCTCTGTCTCTGTCTCTCAGTCTCTCTGTCTCTCCCTCTCCCTTTGCTCATCCATCAGATGCTTTGACTGGAGAGAGAGACGAGAGAAAGGGAGGGAGGAGGGACCAGAGATCAGGGCAGGTCATGGCGATGGCAGGTCCTTTGAATTGGGCACATGGTGCAGGGGTAGGAGATATTCTTCTCATTATAACTGGGGCTGGCCCTGCTGGTCACAGCGAGATCCAGACGTTTCAACATATTCTTGCTGGATCAACATATACCAGTTGTCACAACATTGAGGACACGGGCAAAAGAAATCATCACCGCCATGCTGTACAATCTAGAGGCCCCACCCCATTCACATCACGGGTCCATGGGTGGGGTGCGGGAAGGTCTCCCAGAGTCTTTATGTCCTCTTTGACACCCATTCCTACTTGTGTGCCCCATCATGACTGAGAGAGCCCTACTCACTGGATGCCAAAGGAGATGAGGGACACGCTGACCACCAGCAGGTCCAAGATGTTGAAGTAGTTCCGGCAAAAGGAGCCCTTGTGCAAGAAAGCCCCATAAGCAGTCATCTGCAGGGAGGCACAGGAAACACGAGCATGAGTGGCCCCTGCCCAAGAGCCAGAGACCCCCTCACACCACCCTTTCTTCCCATAGCACCCCTTGGGCAGGGCCCTGCTGAAGAGCAGTGAGGCAACAGAGGGATGGGGTTAGGCAGGACTGAAGAAGGAGATAAGGTGCCAAGAAAAGTGTTCTGAAACTGTTTATGCAACCACCAGAGAATCCCCAGCTCAGGATGTATCAGTGGCTCCAGGCAACTCCAGACTTTTCAATCCTAAATTTGAAGCCCTTTCAAATCAGGCTGCCATCCCTCTCTCCTGTTCCACTTCCTCATCACAGGTCCATGGCTCCAGCTCTGAGAGGCCCTTTGCTGATGCTGCCCTGACCAGGTCTTCCAACCTCCTTTCCAAATTCTATCTGCCTCAGGGCCAGCTTAGGACACAAGGCATCAGGGGGGAAGCTGAGCATGCCCAGTAGAGTCACAACCATTCTGGTTTCCCAGGACTTGCCCAGTTCATTTCTGAAAGTCTGGGATTCCGGGCAACCCCTCACTCTCAGGCAAACTGGGACAGGTGGTCCTTTAATGCCCAGTGAGAAATTCTACCAATGACTCTGGCAGTTAGCATCCCTCCACTTCCTAGACGCAAATAGTGCTTATGATCTGTGCCAAATATTCTACACTCAGTTCTACTGACTTGCTTCTAGACTGCACGTTCTTTAAGGCCAGAGCTATGTTCACAGGGGCTATGTGGTACCTTGTTAAAGAACACAGGCTCTGGAGCCAGGCTGTCTGAGTGTGAATCCCAACTCTATTGTATTTTATTTCTGCGGCCTGGGCAAGTTACTTAACTTCTCTGTGTTTTAGTTTTGTCATCTGAGAAATGAGGAGAGTGATAATATCTACCCTACGGGGTTGTAAGCATGTAAAACGTGAGGAACACTATCCTGCTGATAGTGCCATCTAAGTGTTGGGGCCAGATAGCTTGAAGTTGAATTCTGGATTCTTCCTGCATGAGGGAAGATAAGTTTCCTCATCTATAAAGTGAGCGCACTATTCTCTGCCTTTCTGAGGTGCGTACAGAAAACCACTTGAGATCCCTTGGATGATGAGTATTGTTACACGACTTAGCTATTATCACCTCCCTCAGAGCTCGGTATGAAGCCACCGTAGGTGCTCAACAAATTGCCTTTCCAATTTTGTTGACTTGAATTAAGGGCAATGGATTTCCAGTTAAGGGCCGTGAAAGGCATGGGCTACAAAGCATCAGCCAAAGGGAAAAATCTGAAGCTGATGGCTGAGAGACTGAGTGTGGCTCCCTGGTCACCTGGGGTCCAGTTTATCTCTTTGGAATCAGAGCATGCCCAGGGCAGCATGTCTGCAGAGCAATTCAAAAGCAAACACAGGGGAAATTGGCAAAAATAGCTCTTGCAACCTAATTCTTTCCATTTATCTCCTGCCGCAGGGGGTCACAAGGGACTCAGGCACCTGTGTCCTGCAACAGTTTCGAGAAGTGGGTAGATTATATAAAAGGTTGCAGGGGAATATCATTGGAGATCTCTCCCGAAGCCCTGCCATCTGGAGGGGCTGGCGGCCCTGTCTCTCAGTGAAGATTTGGGACCCTAGGAGTGGCTTTGGGTGGCTCTCATGGTTCATGTTAACCAGAGTGCCTCTGTGCCTACCCAAGGCAGAGCACCTTCACTAGCTATCCTAAATTTCATCTTAGAGAAGGTACTGGGTTTGCTCCCACTCTGTTCCAGGCTTGGGTATTACAAGCATGCTCCTGAGCTGCAACAGAGACATCTACATTTGAGGAAAAGCATTCCTCGATTAGGTGGACAAATGGGTCTCGGAGTGCCAACTTCTGTCCTTTCATTTGGGATCCTGTTTTGTCAAGGGAAGAGGTGTGTGTGTGTGTGTGTGTGTGTGTGTGTGTGTGTGTGTGTGTGTGTGTGTTGGAAACTTGCCCAGGCAGGGCCAGAGAAAGAGTGGCTGTAAGAGAAAGGGCAAATGGATGCTGAAAAAATGGAGCATTTATTTGAAAATCACGTGTGGCATTCAGAGCTTCAAAAAAGGTCAGGTTCAGGTACCCAGTGCAAAGTCTTTCCTTTACCCTGTTTTGCTGACTGATGCCTACCCAGGTCCTGCTTCCTAAAATTTCTAAGCCCAGGAAAAGCCTATGGCTGGGGTTATTTTCAGCCTAAGGAGAGAAAAGGAGTGGGACATAGGATTATGGACTCTGAATTAAAAGGGCAAGAATGCTCCTCTGTCCAGTCACATGGACAAGCAGCAATTCTAGTTGTTAAATGGGTCTGATCTTTAGTAATTTCTGATCATTGGTCCTGGTTCCACCTTTTCCCTCCTCTGTGTGATAGGCTTTTGCATCATTCAAGAAGACTGTCATTGTCAGTGCCTTTGCAGGATGCTAGGCCACCGGGCCAGGCAGAGGGACCCAATGGGAAGGAGGTGCAGGAAAGTGTACTGGGGTTGGGGTTTGTATTTACAAGCACACTGAGAATAAGAGAGTAGAAAAGGGTGAGGGTGGATGGGGAGGGAAGGATCTTGCCATGACAATGCTCGTAAAGAGACCATTCACTTCTGCTTGTATGGCAACCTTGAAGGGAAAACAGCACCATTGAAATCCACAAGGGAAGCTCCGTAGAGGGGTGCTGAGAATTGGGCCTTAGAACTTTTCTTGTCTCAGGAAAGAATTTTGAGTGTTTGTATGCCTCCCTGAGTCTGAAGTCCAGGAAAAATCAGGTCATCCTGGAAAGGGGGTTTTACAGCAGTGTGTCCTAATGCCGCCAGGCAACTCTCGGGGCCCTCTCCCCACCCCCAGGAGTCAGAGCCTAGCCACATTGCTTTCCTCGGGTAGAGAGAAAATCTGAGAAACACTCTTGTTAGCTGGAACCAGAGACAGAAGCTACGGGTCTGGACAAGAAAAAAAAAAAAAGCCACATCAAACTGCCCCATTCGGATTGTATATGGAAGTGACAGCATCATCATGTACGTTAGAAGGTTGGGTCATGACTTGGGCATTCCATCAGGAAAAGAAGGGGCTGGGGCCAGCCATGGCGCATGGTCAGGTGTGGACATTGGCTTGTATCCACTACCTGAAGGGGTGACAAGGGAGCCTGGGCTCCTCGGGAGTGGCATCTCAGGCGAGTATCCCAGGAAGAAGATGCTAAGCTGAAGCAGGTGCTCCAGAGCTTTTGACCTTTCTGTTTGGGATGAGGGTAAAAGCCAAGCCCTCATCCTGAGAGGAGAACAAATGCTGAAATGTACTTTTCCTAGGCTGCAGGACTCACACCCTACATCTCAGATGAACTAGCTTGGCAGCGTATTGGTTTAGAGGCCCAGAAGTATACAGGAAAAACTTAGAAATCACAATAAAATAAATATAAGTAATACATAAATTATATATTAATATAAATAACAAGATAAAACAGAAAAAAATCTCTCTCATCCTAATGCTGTTCAGAGGTAGGTTCTATGGCTTCAGGATAACCGTGCTGCAGTATCCATATATGGGGCTGCCAGCACTGGAGCTGCCAGAGGCGGTGGGGCCAGGCCTGCACGCTCACAGCCTGGGTCTTGGGGCCTGGGGCTCCAGATTCTTTCAGCACTTGGTTCTCACTCCCCTGTACTTGGCTCTCCAGTGTAATTCTCCCTCCTCCATGCTCAGGGCAAGGGGCATAGTAACAAAGCTTTTCAGCAGGTAACCGAGGGTTCAGAAGTAATCTAGAGTTGTCTGTCAAATCCCTCAGCTGAGAGACTGGCCCCGAATTTCACGTCGGCCCCCGATTACTGCTGCAGAGGCCCAACTCTAGCTTAGTCCCAACGTCCGCCACAACTATGGAGGAAGGTATTGATGACTGGCTTCAATGGGCATAGCCAAAGTGACTCACACCCCCGAGCTTTTCCACTTTTGGATTTTGTGTGGTATCTCCTCTGGGCAGGAAGAGGGAAGGAGAGTTCTAAGCAGGGTTCAGTCACCGATTCGATTGCCTGGAGATGGTGTGTGGGGTGTGTGGGGTGTGTGGGCCAGACCGGGGACAGGACAGCATCAGTGTTGACCTTGGCAGCCGAATGTCTCTTCCAGGCAGGTTGGGGGGTGGGGGTAGGTTTCTTCTGGGCCTGAGCAAAGTGCTAGCACAAAGTGAAGGGCACTAATTTTTTTGATTTCAGGCTTGAGAGTGCAAAAGAGAGAGCGAAAGAAACAAGAGAGAAAAGAGACAAGGCAGACAGGGCAGAGACAGAGAGAATGCATTGCTCAGATTGCATTACCTTAAGGATAATTTCTAATGTAAAGATACTAGTGAAGACATAGTCTGCATTGCCTAGGATCTGAAAAATAAGCACAATTGGATTAGTGGCTCTGAGAGGGAACCGGACACCAACGGGAGCGTGTGTGTTAGCGGCAGACAGCAGCAGAGAGCTAGTGCCTCAGGAAGAGGGCAGGAGGGGAGGGGAGGGGGTCGGGGCTTTACCTTCAGAGCAATTTCAATGGTGAAAATGGTAGTAAAAACAATATCAAAATAAAACAGAATCTGCAAAACAAAGAGAAACAGGGTGGGGATGGGGAGGGGAAGGGAGAAAGCAGGATGGGAGGAGAGGTCAGTGGATGTTCACCAGAAAAGGAATCACACTTCAAAACCATGACACACACCACTTGAGCCTTTCCACGTGGAGACAGGTGGAAATGAGTTAGGAGACAAGTGGCATACACGCAGCTCTGGATCCTGAAGCAGGCTGGCTTCAGGAGGCTTAATGGCTCTGGATGAAGTCCCTAGATATGTGAGGGGGAGCTTCCAGGGTAGGCCTCGGCTGGTCCTGGGTCTGGGTAGCATCTGGTTTGATGCTTTTCTCATTAATCCAATACTTACAAACTCAAATCAGACCACTGGGATAGATACTTGTCAAAAGAACAGAGAGTGGGTTTTTTTGTTTTTTTGGTTGGTTTTTTCCAGGAAGATGCAAAGTTCTTAACTGGCATTGGTGTGATTCAGCCAGCTTCCTATGTTGGTGGAAATCTTCACTGGTGTTGGGTCCTTTGCAGCACAAGAGAGCCTCTAGATGAGGCCTACCCAGGCTGGGGACAGGTCACATGGTTTCATGTTTTATTATATCTCAGGTAACAGATCAGAGATAAGGCCAATACCTTTCTTAGTAAGAAAGCTCTGGACCAAGCAGGACCAGCAAGTGGTCTGCAGGGCTATGGCTTTAGACTGGAGGGCTCCTCTCTTCATGCTCAACTGGTTGGGATTTGAAAAAGTTTTGAGACTTTGAGATAGAGCAGTTTTTATTTTAGACTTTAATGTAGTTCACCAGAGCCTTGAGTGGGCCTTCAAATTTAGTTTCGACTTCTAAAGAAGCTCTCTTTTATATAAGGTCAGCCTTATCATTGGCGCCTATTTGCCAGTGCTCTCCCTCTCCCCAATGATTAGGACTGCTCAGAGTATACTGGGAGCAAGGCAAAAGTCAGTGGTTACTCTTTTACTAAGTTTACAGGGAACCAGAGCTTCCTGGGGAATATCCACAGGGCAATGAAAGTCCTGACTTTTGCCAATCAGGCCAGCCTCAGGCATTTGGGTACAAGTTCTCTTACTTGCTTGTGGTCCTTAGATAGTTTCTAGCAAAGCCCTAATCTTCTGAAAAAAAAAACGTTGATTGTGTATTGACACTGAAGTTTGGAATTGGGCTCCCTATTAAACCGTGAGGTCAGCAACAGAAGCTGTAGGCCTGGTCACATTCTCGGGGGTAGGGGGACGGAGAACAGAGGGGAGTGCGTACATGGTTCCTGAAGGACGTGTGCTGGACAGGGTCCTCAGCGGCCAGCGAAATGCTGCTGAGCAGAATGAAGAAGAGGATCAGGTTGGTGAAGATTGTGTCATTGACAATGCGGTGGCACTGGAGGCGGAACCTGCGTGGGAAGCCGGAGAGAAGGAGAGAGGCGTGTCAGAAGGCAAGGGGAGCAGCTCCCTGGGTCTCAGGAGCACCGGCTCTTCCCCTCAGCGTATAGAAGACGCTCATCGGTTTGTGGGGTGGGCTCTTCAGTACTACCACTGCTAGGTAATGACAATCATGACCCCCACCCCCATCATGAGGCATGTCTGCACAGCAGGTTGTAGTTCAAAGCACTCTCACCAACAGTAAACTTTTGACATTTTAGAGGGTTACATCTGAGACCTTTGGGAATCTCTATAATTTCAAATACTGCTGTGACATTAACAGCTGGGTTGTGTTGGGGGACTTCTTTTCCCCATCATTAAAGTAAACCCATTTTATGAGATCTACTTCATATTTTTATGTGTAGGGTACAACAGAGCCACCCGGAGATGTGGGTGCTGAGAGGCTGGCTGAACCTACACTCTACTAAGGTGATTTACTCTTGCGGAATAGCTTCGAGGTGTGCAATTCAACATCACACCTCAGCACAATTATTACAAATAATTACACATGTGGACATCTGGGCACTCACTGATAGTAGCACAAATGCTATATCCTTAAATGCCAAGGCTGTCTTATATACCATTCTATTTCATCCTGACGGTTTAGGAGAGGGATATAGATAATATCATCTTCATTTCATAAATAAAAACAATGAAACCCAGGAAGGAGAAGCCTGCCCAGAAACACGACCTGTAATGTGAGGGAGTGAAGTTTTGAATCCAGTCCTTCAGACCTCTGCTCCTGGCATTGTGGTTTACTAAATTCTCTGAAAGACCTTACCACTGCACAAGCACCAAGTTCTGGAAAGAACGGGCTCTTTGAGATAATCAATTCTGGTTTCATGGGAGTTAGGAGAAGTCTGCAGTGATCATCCCGAACAAACAAGGAAACAAACAAATCCTCTGATCTGGGGTCTGTGTGATGGGTAGCCAGGAAGGACAGAGTTGCCTGAGGATAGATGCCAGTAGCAACTCTGCTATCAGGAAATTGCATTTCAAGCCAGTCTTGAAGTGGGGCAGAGAAGCCTGGAACTCTAAGCTGAGCCTATACTCTCAAAGAACAACTGAAAAAAAGCTTTCCCAATAATACTTTAGGCCTACAGAAATCTCGCCAATTAATATCAAGTATTGAGGTAACAATCGGAGATCATTAAACATGCCAGAATATAAGCCACTAAGATGGGAAATCAGGAAAACAACAAATAAGTGATTTCAACCCCTTGAAGCCTGTGTATATTAAAAATAATAGATACAAAATATAGAGCAACTATATTTGAAAAAGTTAATGAAATAAAGGACTTGATCACAAAGACAATGAGTTAACAAGATAGTGTTAGATATAGACAGATGGATCTGGAAAATCAAGCAACAAATGGAACTGCTTGAAATAAGAAAACATAACAGTTGACATAAAAACTGGTTTAAACAGTAACATAAAGTTGAAGATGGAATTAAGAAATTGGAAGCTACATCTGAAGAAATTAACCCAGAATACCAAAAGAGAGATAAGGAGATGAAAGATATGTAGATACATTAAGAGATAGAGAGTACAAAATGAGAAGGTATAACATATGTCTAATTAGAGTGCCAGAAGGAAAGAATAAAGAGAATGAAGGAGACACAATATTTAAAGAGATTATGGCTGCAATGTTTTAAAAAATAGCAATTCTTATTCTAATTTCATGTCATTCAAGAACTGAAGAAAAATATAAATCCATAGACGTAGGAAGCATATTTCAAGCAAGATAAATGGAAAGAAATCCATGTCTAGACACATGGTAATAAATCTGCACAACGTCAAAGGCAACAGAAGATGGTAAAAGCAGCTAGAGATAAGGGGCAGATTACTTACAAAGAAATGAGAGTAGAAATTACAGCTGACTTTACAGTGGAATAATACATTTAACATCCTGAGGAACAAAACCTGGCATTCTAAAATTGTGTACATGGCAAAAGTATCTTTCAAGAACAAGAAATGAAAAGAATTACAGATAAACAGAGGCCAAATTTATCATAAAGGAACTACAGGAACTTCTAAAGAATGTGCTTTAGGACACCTGAAACCAATATAATATTGTACGTCAATTGTAATTGAAAAATTTGAAAATGTATAATAAAAAAGAAAAAAGAAAAAATGTACTTCAGGAAGAAAGAAAATGACTACAGAGGACAAACTGGTAAGTTATATGTAAATCCAAGTATATACTGTTTATATAATAATTCTAATTCTGATAATAATGTCTAACTTGGGTTAAATATAAAGGTCAAGATCAAACACTAATCAACAATAACATGTAAGGCAGGAGCAATTGAGAGGAGTTAAAATTGTCTAAGCTCCTTTGATTTTACTGGATGAGGTTTAGGATATTGTTTAGCTTTAGACTTTGTTAAATTAAGTAGGCTTACTGAATACCAAGGGTAAACATTAAAAGAATGGAAACAGAGTTTACACATTTCAAAAAATGGAGAGAAATAAACCACAGGCCTACTGATTCAGAATCTACAACTCTTTTTCCTAAAAAGAGATAAGGGGCAGATTACCTATAAAAAAATGATAGTAGGAATGACAGCTGACTTTACAGTGGAATAATACATTTAACGTGCTGAGGGACAAAACCTGTCCCTCTCTTTACACAAACTGTGGGGAGCTGGGGCAGTCCCAGGCTCTATCCAGAGGTTAAAGGATGCTGGCACCTGCTGGGCTTGGATCATTGAGGGAGCAGAGTCCCACCTTTCCCACCATTCTCACACACCTGTTGTTGGGGCTGAAGATGAAAAATGCACTGGCTTCTGGCATGGGCACTGCTTTTTCCTTAAGGTGCAGCTCAGATAGTGGTCGTGGGCGGGGGCCCACAGGCATCTCGGGCTCCTCATCATCCTCTTCTCCTGTAAGAAAAAAAGCACCATTCTAAACAACATCACTATTCCCATTTATTTTTACTACTGTGCTGCCTACTTTCGATACCTGCCTACTACAATAATCAAAACATCGTTTGTATCTCTGAAAACATAGGGTACTAACCAAGACAGACACTCAGCTCTCTCACTGTGGGCACTGCTGGAGTTCATCTATGTTTGAGAAAGACTTTCTTGGCAGCACATGATAGGGTGACTAACTCATGCTGGTTTTCTCAGGACTGTCCTGGTTTTTAAACTGAAATTTCCAAATCCCAGGAAACCCCCCAGTTCTATGTAATTTGGGATGGTTGGTCATCCTAGTTGTAAGGCGCTAGAAAAGATGACCAGGTGAGACTAGGGCATTGACAGATGTAATAGTCCATGTAGGCTGCAGGTCGGGGATAGGGTATGGCTTAGTTGACTTGTGGGATCCCTTGCAAACAACCACATCCTTGAAGGTTCCAGGAGTTTAAAATCAACACTCTCCCCATTCCTAAAAATATAAAACAATCATGTGCTATAGGAACAATAGGGCAATAATGTTGACCACAACAGGCTCTTCATTCAAAGGTCTAGACATTGATGTCAATTAAAGAAGCTCCTTTGTTCTCTCAGCCAGTGGCCACATTTAATGTGGACCAAAGGCAAATGACTTCTTCCTTTGCTTGCAAGCTCACTGCCCATGGAAGGAGATCAGCACATGCCCTGTTCTGATCAAATGCATTTAAAACGTTTAGAAGGGGAATGGGAGTTAAGAGCATGGACTCTCTGGCCAAAGCCTTGATCCAAATGTTGGCTCTGTTTCTTTCTGGCTATGGGCAGTTTATTTAATCTCTTTGTGCCTCAGTTTCTCCATCTGTAAGATAAGATAATAGTTCACGCATATAATAGTTCCGAATGGCACACAGCAAGTGCTATGTAAATGTTAGCTGTTGTTATTACTGTTTGTACCCACGGGAGAGACTCTTAGTCTGTAAATTAGTGCTTGGCATCTTTCTTAGTCTTAGGGACGGATCTTTGTCTGCTGTTATTCTCTGAAAAACTTTCTATTTACATCAAACCATTTTCTGAACACTCACCATAGTGGGTTGAATAAGGCCCATAAAATTCATATGCTCCTGGAACCTCAGAATGTGACCTCATTTTAGAAATCTCGTCTTTGCAGATATAATTAGTTATGATGAAGCCATACTGGACTAAGGTGGGCCCTAAATTCAAGGACTGTTGTCCTTCTAAGGAGAGACACAGAGACACATACACAGAGAAGGCCATGTGAAGACAGAGGCAGAGACTGGAGCGATGCAGCTAACACCAAGGGACAGCAAGGATTGCCGGCAACCTGCAGAAACTGGGAGGAGGCAAGGGGGAGTTCTCTCTAGAGCCTCAGAGGGAGCATGGCCCTGCCAACACCTTGATTTTAGACTTCTCAGCTCCAGAACTGAGGGAGTGCGTTTTTGTTGTCTGTGGCAATTTGTTACAGCAGCTCCAGGAAACAAATAAATTTGCTATGTGCTTTCTCCTCTCCTCAAGCTCCCTCCGTGTTTGAAATGCACTTCATCTCCTTCTCTACAGAGCTATGAGGATTCCCACTTCAGACGGCATCCTTCACCTGGCTTTCCTGAGACGGAACCTGTGAATTCCAGCAGCATCTTTGGCCTCCAGCATTCACTTGGTACTTAGGACACAATACCTTGGATACTGATTCTACATGTATCTGTTCCATCTCTTTATGTGCTGAAAACTCTGGAAAGAGAAACCGTGCCTGGCACCTAGTAGCTCTTATTTCCTGATGATTAAACTTATATACCAACATAGCTTTATAAGAAAGGGGAATTTGCAAAAGAAGAAGGTCAGGTGGAGACTGAGCTGGTTGGAAAGGTAGTTATGGGAAATTTGGCTTATGGACCAGCCATTCCTCTTCATGCTCTCTCTTCTTCTGGTTATAATGAAGCCAGGTGGTGCAGAGAAAAAAATGCCTGGCACAGAAAGTAGTTCTTTATCAAGCAAGAAGCATTTAGGGACCAAAGGCTTTTT